ATCTCCCTCCTCCCCTTACAGGTCTGCCCTTCCCGCCCAGCCTCTCCTTTCCCTCTCTGTGCCGATCCCCGTCCTCGTCCTCGTCCCCTCGCGGGGCCAGCGACCGGGGCTGGCGGGTCAGAGGACACCATGAGTCTGGGGGGTGGCAACAGCAGCCGGCGCCGCCGGGCGGAGAGCGGGGACCCCGAGCCACCCCCGCTTCCGCCCCCCGGAGAACCCGCCGCGGCCGGCCCCCCGCGCTACCTGCCGCCGCTGACCCCGCCGCTGCCCAGCCTGCTCGCGCTGCCCGCGCTGTCCGCCCTGCCCTCGCTGCCGCCCCCGCAGGCGCCGCCGGGACCGGCTCCGAGGCAGGACGAGCCGCAGCCGCTGGCCGAGGGCGTCCCGCGGCGAGGAGCCGGCGAGGAGCCGACGCCGCCGCCGCCGCCTCTGTTGCCGCCCCCGCCGCCGCCGCAGCTCCCGCTCCTGCTCCCGCTCCCGCTCCCTTTGGCGGAGCAAGAGCCGTCAACGGCCGCAGACTCCGGGGAAGGTCCGAAGCGCTTCTCTGAACCTCCCCCTCCAGAGGCGGCGATTAAGGACTCGGAGGAGCCGAAGGCGGCGAGAGTCGGGGGGGACGCAGAGGGACGGAGCGCCTCGGAGCCGCCCGAGACCCGCTCGGTGTGCAGCAGCCGCAGCAACAGCAGCAGCAGCAGCAGCGACCAGCGCACGGGGCACCACCACCACCAGCACCAGCACCACCAGCCCATCTGCAAAATCTGCTTCCAGGGGGCCGAGCAGGTACGGACACTGCCCACGCACGGAGGGCTCCCCTGAACTCTAGCTCGCGCCCATCGGGACTCTGGGCCAAATTGGGAGCCCCGAGACAGGTGGCTGCGAGCTCCGGAATCCAGAGGCTCCCTCGCCTGGCGCTCAGTAAACTGTCAGCCAGGAGGAGGTGTTCAGCACCATGGACAAGTCTTCCTGTTGTAGTTCCCTTTCCTTGGCCTTCTGAACAGCAAGGGTTCTTTACTTTCACTACTTTTCCCTCCTTTCTCTTTATTTTGCAGGCAGATACACACACTATCATATTGCCTTATGCACAATAAGGGAATTTCATTTGCTTTTCATTTGCTCTCTCTCTCTCTGGCAAGGTTTGGGGGTTACACATTCCTCAGGTGCCTTCATGATGCCAAAAGAGATTTTTGTGAATGACTTTGTTCTTGGGTTTACACATTGCTGGAGAAATATCTTAAGGGTATACAGTGTCACAATACTGACACATAAGCAAAAACACATAAACACAACAGTGGAACACATAAAGAAATTATTGTATCATTTCTAATATTGTAGTTTTAGGTCTCAGAGTTAGATTTTTACAAGAGACAGAGGAAGCTACTATGGCCCTGAGGTGGAGTAAGAATCCTTGAGGTTTTAAAGAAGATTAACAATGACATCTTTTATTGAAAGTGTATGCTTCAGTAATTGCTAATATTTTGAAACAGTATATATAGTAATATAGCATAAAGTATTTAATTTTATGAAAAGAACTAAGTGAATGAAGGAAGGTAAAATATAAATTTGTGGTCTGAGATGACATTAGCCTGGATATTTTAAAAAGTAAGGAAATTGCACAGGAATACACAGGCTTTCAATAATATAGTGCATTAAGTCAATATTTATGATGCCAAGTCTAGAAAAAAATAAAAGCATAGTGCTACTGTCAGCTACTCTCTGGGTTGTCATGCATTTCTTCTTTAGCAATGATTAAGAATAACTGCAGAGGAAATGCACTTGACCATCCACTTAAAAGTTATTAAAGAGATTTAATAGTACTGCTGTTCCCCCAAGGGCATTGGAAGTTATGTGTTGTAGACATTTTATATCTTGGTAGAACATTTATGTGATAAATGTTATCAGTATTTTTGTAAGAGTATTTTGGGTAAGATTTTATGGTTATTCTAATCAGAGCATGAAATTTTAATTTCATTTAGTTGGGTAGGGCCCAATACTTATTTTCTGAAACAAAAAAGAAAAAAATATAGAAAATATAGACACCACCATAACATTAATACTGATTTCTTTTATTTTTAGGGTGAACTGTTAAATCCTTGCCGATGTGATGGGTCAGTTCGGTATACACATCAGCTATGCCTATTAAAGTGGATCAGTGAAAGAGGGTCATGGACCTGTGAGCTCTGCTGTTATAGATACCATGTAATAGCAATTAAAATGAAAAAACCTTGCCAGGTAAAAAAAAATTAAGATATTTATTTTTCTGAAGTAGCAATGCTAGCCAAGAGTATATTTTATTCAGAACATTCTCTAAAATGGCAAATTTTTGAATTTGTATAGTACTGTTCTTCCAAGGTGTATTGAATCTGGGGTTGTGAAAGGCTTATGTGATATTTTAACCAATTGGGTTCTCTAGATTGATCAGTTACCTATTGATAAAATATCCTATTATCAATTTCTAAAACACAAAAACTGGAAAAGTGTCATTTGTTAATCTTACAGTTAAAAAATTCTATTTTTATTTGAATTTTAATGTGATGTGAACTGTGAAATTTTTTATAAACTTAAGAATTTGAATATTGAGTAGGCTCCATTTTGGGAAGAGAGACAAGTAGGGGTGAAATAAATTTGTAGTTCTGTGGAGGATTGGGAGAGGCTTTAAAAAAAAAGAATCCTGTCTTTTTAGCCTCCTTTAATCCTTCTATGCTTTCTATTTTAGCATTTTTTTATTTGATCAATTTCAGATGCCTTTACCTTCTCTATAGAGTTAGCTGCACCATTTCTTGCTCCAGTGCAATGCAGACAATGAGAAGCAGCATGACTCAATGGATAGAAGGATTGCTCTGGAGTCAGGGAGACTCAGATTCAGGTCCTGCCTATGACACACACTGGTTGTGTGACCATGGGCAAGTCACTTAACTACTTAGTGACCCCAATAACACTCTAAAACTATAACCTGCCAATGAGTAAGGTTCTATACCAATGAAATCACAGGCCTAAATAACAACAAAACTCTCACTAATATATATTGAATCAATAAAATGTCTACATGGCTAATACAGAAAAGTAAAAAAAAAAAAGTTGAAGTTGACCAGATAGAAGGAGGTTGGAATCTAAAATACAGAAGATAAAGAAGAAATGGGAAGGGAAAGGAAGGATGAAATGAGGACTGGAAAGTGGTTAGTTAAGTATGATTAACAAGCAAGAGGTGAAAATAGGAATTTTCTCAAGACATCAAAGGGCATGTATACACATTATATTTAAAGATGAAAATTTATAATAAAAAGTGATACTATCATTCTGAAGAGAGATACAAAATGAAATGTTTCTTTAGAATCAATGTTTTGTTGAGCCAGTTGGGTGCAGATGGATGGGTCTGTGAAGATCATTTTGAAAAAAAATTACAGATAAAATCATGTCACAAGATCAGGATATGGATTAGATAATTAGATATACAGTTATATTAATGAAAGTACTATATATAGGAAATTTCTAACATTTTGTTACTTGGGTTAGCTTCAGATCCTATTTGTACTTGACCAGTGATGGTCTGCAGGCAAATATGAAGGACTCTTACCTGTTAAAACAGGAAGAGATATTTCCAAAATTGTAATTTTCTGGACAATTTATATTATACATTCCTATTTGAAGTTAAAATTGATATTATGAATTCACATTTGGTTCTGTTTGGAGTTAAAAGAGACAGAAGACAGGAAGAAAATATTTTTTAATTCTTATAACTAGTATTAGTTATTTGTGTTTATTTTGTTTAGCACTTTATATGATAAAAAAACTTTATAAATCTACTTACACAATATTAGTTAGTATTTTACTTACACGTACATAGGGTTAACCCTATTATGGTATATAAAATATTCCTATGATATTCATGTAGTCAGTTAATAAGCATTTATTAAATACCTAATTTATACCAGACATTGTGCTAGGTACTAGGGATACAAAGAAAGGCAAAAGATAGTCCCTGTCCTCAAGGAGCTGTCAGACTGATGGCAGAGACAACATGAAAACAACTATGTGTAGATGACCTGTACACCCATACATTCACTCATCCATATTCTTTTTTTAGTATAACAGAAAATGTAATTTTGTAGCTAAAATGTATTTAGGTAGTGCTTAATTTTCAGGTTGTGCTAATGAATAAATGATAGAAATACATTACATACTTAAAAAGGTCATGAAATTTCTCAGGCCACTGGTTGCCATTAGGACACTGGAACTTTTTTCCTAATTAATATCCTGGAGGCTTGAAAGGGTTCATGAAGTTCTCAAAGTGGAGTTTATATACTTTTAGGGTCTGGATGAATTAATTGCATTTCTTCCCCCCCTCCAATTTTAAATTATTTACTTAGTATTTTATTTTTCCTCAGTTACATGTAAAAACAATTTTTAACATTTGTTTTTAAAACTTTTGAGTTCCAAATTCTCTCTCTTCCTCCTTCCCCACCTCCCTCATTGAGAAGGCAAGCAATTCTATGTAGGTTATACATATGTAGTCATGCATAATATAGTAGTCATGTTGTGAAAAAAAAGACAAAAAAAACTCAAGAAAAATAACGTAAAAAAGTATGCTTCAATCTGTATTCAGATACCATCAGTTCCTTCTTTGGGGATGGATAGCATTTTTCATAAGTCATTCAGAGTTGTCTTGGATTGTTGTATTGCTGAGAATAGCTAAGTCATTCACAGCTGATCATCTTACAATATTGACGTTACTTTGTATGCAGTATGTTCACTTTGCATCAACTCATGTAAGTCCTTCTAGGTTTTTCTGAAAGCATCCTGCTCATCATTTCTTATAGCACAATAGTATTCCATTACAACCACATACTGCACAATTTGTTCAGCCATTCCCCAGTTTATGGGCGTCTTCTCAATTTCCAGTTCTTTGCCCCTAGAAATGAGCTGCTATGAATATTTTTGTACATATAGGTCATTTTCCTTTTTGTTTTTTATCTCTTTTGGGATACAGACCTAGTAGTGGTATTGTTAGGTCAAAGGGTATGCATGGTTTTATAACCCTTTGGTCACAGTTCCAAATTGCTCTATAGAATGGTTGAATAGTTCACAACTCCACCAACAGCGCATTAAAGTCTCATTTTTCCTACATTCCCTCTAACATCATTTTCCTTTTCTCTCCTATTAGAAAAAGTATGAGTACCTCAGAATTGTTTTAGTTTGCATTTCTCAAATCAATAGTGATTTGGAGCATTTTTTCCATATGGCTATATAGATAGCTTTTATTACTTCATCTGAAAACTGACTTCATATCTTTTGATCATTCATCAATTGGGGAATGACTCTTGTTTTTATAAATTTGACTCATTTCTCTGTATATTTGAGAAACTTGCCAGAGAAACTTGCTTCAAAATTTCTTTCACATTTATGATTGCTAACTGAATTTCCCTCCATCCTATTTCCACCCTGTTTATTCTGTTCTTTCTCTCTTTTCACCCTGTTCCTCCTCAAAAGTATTTTTGCTTTTGATTACTGTCTCCCTCTATCTGCCTTCCCTTCTATCACCACCACCACCTCCTTCTCTTATCCCCTTTCCTTCCTATTTTCCTATAGGGTAAGTTACATTTCTATACCGAATTGAGTGTGTATGTTATTCTTCTTTAAGCCAATTCTGATGAGAGTAAGATTCATGAACTCCTCCACCTTTCCCATCTTCCCCTCCACTGTAAAAGCTTTTTTCCTTTGGTTTTGTTTTATTGTTTCTTGATTTACCATAAAGTCATTAGCTTCTATTTGCTCAGTTCTAATTTTTAAGGAATTATTTTCTTCAGTGAGCTTTTGAACCTCCTTTTCCATTGGACCAATTCTGCTTTTTAAGGAGTTCTTCTTTTCAGTGAACTTTTGTATATCTTTTTCTATTTAGCCAATTCTGCTTTTCAGGGAATTCTTCTCATCATTGGCTTTTTGTACCTCTTTTACCATTTGGCCTAGTCTGTTTTTTAAGGTGTTATTTTTTTCAGTATTTTTTTGTGTCTCTTCTACCAAGCTGTTGACTCTTTTTCATGATTTTCTTGCATCACTCTCATTTGTCTTCCCAATTTTTCCTTTGCCTCTCTTACTTGATTTTCAAAATCCTTTTTGAGCTCTTCCATGGCCTGGGACCAATTCATATTTTTTTTCTTGAAGGCTTTGGATGTTGGAGCTTTGACTTTGCTGTCTTCTTTTGATCTTCTTTGTCACCATAGTAACTTTCTATGGTCAGAATTTTTTTTCCTGTTATTTTCTCATTTTTCCAGCCCTATGTCTTGATTTTTAACTCAGATGCACTGTCTGAAGCTTCAGGGGTTTTGTGCAGCTGTTTTTAGAGATATTAAGTTTTCATTTCTTCCCAGGTGGTATGATCTGAGAGAGTTGTGTTTATTACTCTCCTGGCCCATGCTCTGGTCTGTGAGTGACCACAAGCACTCTTTTCTGCCCTTGAACTGTGGCGAGGGTCCTTGCATCGCTGCAGCTGCAAGCTTTGATGTGCTAGTGCTCCTCCCCACCCTGGGGCTGAGACCCAAGACTGAGACTCAGATCTGAGTATGAGCGAAGCAACAGAGTCCTGCTGCTAGTGCCGGCAAAGAGACCCCTATAATCTCCGTCTGATTAGTTGTTTGACCCCCTTACTGTCTATGAGCTGAGAGCTCCAGAAGCAGCTGCTGTTGCTGCCGATTCAGTGACCACCCAAGGCTTGCTCCTGGTTTGCCGGCGCCTAGTCTGTGCTGGCAAGGCCTGCGCTGGACTGCTCTTCATTCTCATCCTGGTGTGACAGATCTTTCCTGTCCAAAGTTGTCTTTGGCTGCAGAATTATTTCACCCCAACTGTTTGTTGGTTCTGCCACTTCAGGAATTGTTTTATGACATTATTTAAAAGTGTTCAGAAGGGTTCTGGGGAGAGCTCAAGTGAGTGGCTGCCTTTTCTCTGCCATCTTGGCTCTGCCTGAATTAATTGTATTTCAGTCTCAGGAACAACTTCTACATTCATTTGCTCCAGTGGTCATAAGTGAAGGGATATGTAGGAGATAAGAGAAGATGTTTCATGTTTGGAATTGTAGAGGAGGTTGAAAAGCAGACATGCAGCCTCATTATTTCACTTGAGTAATTCCTATATTACCAGGAGCCCTCGGTACAGAGTAAGTGAGTGAAGTCCCCTGTATCTTGTGTGGCACTTTGAAAAATGTCTTCTATTTGTGGAGTAATTTACCGTTGGTGTGTTTG